TTATGCCTGTCTATTCTGAAAATACTCTCCTCCAGTCTCTCTTCTCTGCCTGCCTCTACATTTCCTCTTCGCAGAGATGATTTCGCTCCTTCACCTGTCTGCTCTGAGATTCTCTCTGGGGCCTTGCTCAGCTTTATGCCTGTCTATTCTGTCTGCTCTGCCTGATTTCCTCTTCTCCTCTTAACCTGCTCCTTCTACCTGTCTGCTCAGATCTCTCTGGGCCTTGCTCAGCTTTTATGCCTGTCTATTCTGGAATACTCTCTCCAGTCTCTCTTCTCTGCCTGTCTCTACATTTCCTCTTCGCAGATGATTTCTTAACCTGCTCCCTTCTACCTGTCTGCTCTGATTCTCTCTGGGCCTTGCTCAGCTTTATGCCTGTCTATTTCTGAAATACTCTCCTCCAGTCTCTCTTCTCTGCCTGCCTCACATTTCCTCTTCGCAGATGATTTCTTAACCTGCTCCCCTTCTACCTGTCTGCTCTGAGATTCTCTCTGGGCATGCCTGTCTAGCTTTATGCCTGTCTATTCTCGCAGATCCTGCTCCTTCTACCTGTCTGCTCTGATTCTCTCTGGGCCTTGCTCCTCAGTCTCTCTTCTCTGCCTGCCTCTACATTTCCTCGTCGCAGATGATTTCTTAACCTGCTCCTTCTACCTGTCTGCTCTGAGATTCTCTCTGGGCCTTGCTCAGCTTTATGCCTGTCTATTCTGAAATACTCTCCTCCAGTCTCTCTTCTCTGCCTGCCTCTACATTTCCTCGTCGCAGATGATTTCTTAACCCGCTCCTTCTACCTGTCTGCTCTGAGATTCTCTCTGGGCCTTGCTCAGCTTTATGCCTGTTCATTCTGGAATACTCTCCTCCAGTCTCTCTTCTCTGCCTGCTCTACATTTCCTCTTCGCAGATGATTTCTTAACCCGCTCCTTCTACCTGTCTTCTATTCTCCTGGGTCTCCAGCTTTATGCCTGAGACTCTCCCAGTCTCTCTCTCTGGCCTTGATTTCGTCACCACTCCTTCTCAGTTCTTTATGCCAGATGTCTGCTCTGAGATTCTCTTGGCCTTGCTCCAGTCTATTTCCTCTGATTTCTCTCCTCCAGTCTCTCTGAGATTCTCTCTGGGCCTGTTCCTGAAATACATTTCCTCTTCGCAGATGATTTCTTAACCTGCTCCTTCTACCTGTCTGCTCTGAGATTCTCTCTGGGCCTTGCTCAGCTTTATGCCTGTCTATTCTGGAATACTCTCCTCCAGTCTCTCTTCTCTGCCTGCCTCTACATTTCCTCTTCGCAGATGATTTCTTAACCTGCTCCTTTACCTGTCTTCTACCTGTCTGCTCTGAGATTCTCTCTGGGCCTTGCTCAGCTTTTTTTATGCCTGTCTATTCTCTGGAATACTCTCCTCCAGTCTCTCTTCTCTGCCTGCCTCATTTCCTCGTCGCAGATGATTTCTTAACCTGCTCTTCTACCTGTCTGCTCTGAGAGTCTATCTCTGCCCCCATTTCCTGGCTTTCTGCTCCAGTCTCCTGCCCTCCCAACTTTTTTTCTGAAATACTCTCCTGTCTATTCTCTCTGGGCCTCCTCCAGTCTCTCTTCTCTCTGCCTGTTCAAATACTCTCCTCCAGTCTCTCTTCTCTGCCTGCCTCTACATTTCCTCGTCGCATGATGATTTCTTAACCCGGGCTCCTTCTACCTCTGTCTGCTCTGAGATACTCTCTGGCCTTGCTCTACCTGTCATGCCTGTCTATTCTTTTCCTCCAGTCTCTCTTCTCTGCCTGCCTCTCATTCGTCGAATGATTTCGTGAACCCTTTCCTTCACCTGTCTGCTCTGAGATTTCTCTCTGGGCCCTCAGCTTTTATGCCTGTCTATTCTGGAAATACTCTCTTCTCTCTTTTCTCTGCCTGCCTCAGATTTCCTCGTCTGGATGATTTCTTAACCTGATCCTTCTACCTGTCTGCTCTGAGATTCTCTCTGGGCCTTGCTCAGCTTTATGCCCTGTCTATTCTGAAATACTCTCCTCCAGTCTCTCTCTCTGCCTGCCTCTACATTTTCCTCGTCGTTGATGATTTCTTAACCTGCTCCTTCTCTACCTGTCTTCTGAGATTCTCTCTGGGCCCTTGCTCAGCTTATGCCTGTCTATTCTGGTCTCTCCTCCAGTCTCTTCTCTGCCTGCCTCTACATTTCCTCGTCGCAGATGATTTCTTAACCTGCTCCTTCTACCTGTCTGCTCTGGAGATTCTCTCTACCTTTTTCAGCTTATGCCTGTCTATTCTGAAATGCCTCTCCTCCAGTCTCTCTTCTCTGCCTGTCTCTACATTTCCTCGTCGCAGATGATTTCAACCTGCTCCTTCTACCTGTCTGCTCTGAGATTCTCTCTCTGGCCTTTGCTCAACTTTATGCCTGTCTATTCTGAAATACTCTCCTCCAGTCTCTCTTCTCTGCCTGCCTCACATTTCCTCGTCGCAGATGATTTCTTAACCTGCTCCTTCTACCTGTCTGCTCTGAGATCTCTCTGGGCCTTGCTCAGCTTTTATGCCTGTCTATTCTGGAGTCTCTCCTCCAGTCTCTCTTCTCTGCCTGCCTCTACATTTCCTCTTCGCAGATGATTTCTTAACCTGCTCCTTCTACCTGTCTGCTCTGAGATTCTCTCTGGGCCTTGCTCGCTTTATGCCTGTCTATTCTAGAATACTCTCCTCCAGTCTCTCTCTTCTCTGCCTGCCTCTACATTTCCTCTTCGCAGATGATTTCTTAACCTGCTCCTTCTTACCTGTCTTTCCAGATTCTCTCCTTTTTCAGCTTTATGCCTGTCTATTCTGGAATACCTCTCCTCCAGTCTCTTCTCCTGCCTGCCTTACATTTTCCTCTTCGCAGATGATTTCTTAACCTCACTCCTTCTACCTGTCTGCTCTGAGATTCTCTCTGGCCTTTGCTCAACTTATGCCTGTCTATTCTGGAATACTCTCCTCCAGTCTCTCTTCTCTGCTCCACCTGCCTCTCACATTTCCTCGTCGCAGATGATTTCTTAACCTTCCTTCTACCTGTCTGCTCTGAGATTCTTCTGGGCCTTTGCTCAGCTTTATGCCTGTCTATTCTGGAATACTCTCTCCAGTCTCTCTTTCTGCCTGTCTACATTTCTCGTCGCAGATGATTTCTTAACCCCTCCCTTCTACCTGTCTGCTCTGAGATCTTCTGGGCCTTGCTCAGCTTTATGCCCTATTCTGGAATACTCTCTCCAGTCTTTCTCTTCTCTGCCTGCTCTCACATTTCCTCGTCGCAGATGATTTCTTAACCTGCTCCTTCTACCGTCTGCTCTGAGATTCTCTCTCTGGGCCTTGTCAGCTTTATGCCTGTCTATTCTGGAATACTCTCCTCCAGTCTCTCTTCTGCCTGTTTCTACATTTCCTCGTCGCAGATGATTTCTTAACCTGCCTCCTACCTGTCTGCTCTGAGATTCTCTCTCTGGCCTTGCTCAGCTTTTATGCCTGTCTATTCTGGAATATTCCTCCAGTCTCTCTTCTCTGCCTTCCACATTTCCTCTTCGCAGCTATGATTTCGTCACCCAGCTCCTTCTACCTGTCTGCTGTCTGAGATTCTCTCTGGGCTGCTCAACTTTATGCCTGTCTCTTCTGGAATACTCTCCTCCAGTCTCTCTTCTTCTCTGCCTGCCTCTACATTTCCTCGTCGCAGATGATTTCTTAACCTGCTCCCTTCTACCTGTCTGCTCTGAGATTCTCTCTGGGCCTTGCTCAGCTTTATGCCTGTCTATTCTGGAATACCTCCAGTCTCTCTTCTCTGCCTGCCTCTACATTTCCCTCTTCGCAGATGATTTTTTCGTAACCTGCTCCTTCTACCTGTCTGCTCTGAGATTCTCTCTGGGCCTTGCTCAACTTTATGCCCGTCTATTCTGGAATACTCTCCTCCAGTCTCTTCTCTGCCTGCCTCTACATTTCCTCTTCGCAGATGATACCCGCTCCTTCACCTGTCTGCTCTGAGATTCTCTCTGGGCCTTGCTCTGCCTGTCTATTCTGGAAACTCTCTCCCTCCAGTCTCTCTTCTCTGCCTGTCTCATTTCCTCGTCGCAGATGATTTCGTAACCTGCTCCTTCTACCTGTCTGCTCTGAGATTCTCTCTGGGCCTTGCTCAGCTTTATGCCTGTCTATTCTGAAATACTCTCCTCCAGTCTCTCTCTCATTGCCTGCAGATGATTTCTACATTTCCTCTGTCGCAGATGATTTCACCTGCTCCTTCTGGAATACCTGTCTGCTCTGAGATTCTCTCTGGGCCTTGCTCAGCTTTTTATGCCTGTCTATTCTGGAATACTCTCTCCTCCAGTCTCTTCTCTTCTCTCTGCCTGCCTCCATTTCCTCGTCGCAGATGATTTCTTAACCTGCTGCCCTTCTACCTGTCTCCTCTTGAGATTCTCTCTGGCCTTGCTCAGCTTTATGCCTGTCTATTCTGGAATACTCTCCTCCAGTCTCTCTTCTCTGCCTGCCTCTACATTTCCTCGTCGCAGATGATTTCTTAACCTGCTCCTTCTACCTGTCTGCTCTGAGATTCTCTCTGGGCCTTGCTCAGCTTTATGCCTGTCTATTCTGAAATACTCTCCTCCAGTCTCTCTTCTCTGCCTGCCTCTACATTTCCTCTTCGCAGATGATTTCTTAACCTGCTCCTTCTTCTCCTTCACCTGTCTGCTCTGAGATTCTTCTCTCGCAGATGGCCTTGCTCAGCTTTATGCCTGTCTATTCTGAAATACTCTCCTCCAGTCTCTCTTCTCTGCCTGCCTCTACATTTCCTCGTCGCAGATGATTTCTTAACCTGCTCCTTCTACCTGTCTGCTCTGAGATTCTCTCTGGGCCTTGCTCAGCTTTATGCCTGTCTATTCTGGAATACTCTCCTCCAGTCTCTCTTCTCTGCCTGCCTCTACATTTCCTCTTCGCAGATGATTTCTTAACCTGATTCTCTCTCCTTCTACCTGTCTGCTCTTGAGATTCTCTCTGGCCTTGCTCAGCTTTATGCCTGTCTATTCTGGAATCTCTCTGGGCCCTCCAGTCTCTCTCCTTCTCTGCCTGCCTGCCTCTACATTTCCTTTGCAGATGATTTCTAACCTGCTCCTTCACCTGTCTGCTCTGAGATTTCTCTGGGCCTTGCTCAGCTTTATGCCTGTCTATTCTGGAATACTCCTCCAGTCTCTCTTCTGCCTGCCTCTACATTTCCTCGTCGCAGATGATTTCTTAACCTGCTCCTTCTACCTGTCTGTCTGCTCTGGGCCTTGCTGAGATTCTCTCTGGGCCTTGCTCAGCTTTATGCCTGTCTATTCTGGAAATACTTGCTCAACTTTATGCCTGTCTCTCCTCCAGTCTCTCTTCTCTGCCTGCCTCTACATTTCCTCGTCGCAGATGATTTCTTAACCTGCTCCTTCTACCTGTCTGCTCTGAGATTCTCTCTGGGCCTTGCTCAGCTTTATGCCTGTCTATTCTGGAATACTCTCCTCCAGTCTCTCTTCTCTGCCTGCCTCTACATTTCCTCTTTGCAGATGATTTCTTAACCCGCTCCTTCTACCTGTCTGCTCTGAGATTCTCTCTGGGTCTTGCTCAGCTTTATGCCTGTCTATTCTGGAATACTCTCCTCCAGTCTCTCTTCTCTGCCTGCCTCTACATTTCCTCTTCGCAGATGATTTCGTAACTCGCTCCTTCTACCTGTCTGCTCTGAGATTCTCTCTGGGCCTTGCTCAGCTTTATGCCTGTCTATTCTGAAATACTCTCCTCCAGTCTCTCTTCTCTGCCTGCCTCTACATTTCCTCTTCGCAGATGATTTCTTAACCTGCTCCTTCTACCTGTCTGCTCTGAGATTCTCTCTGGGCCTTGCTCAGCTTTATGCCTGTCTATTCTGGAATACTCTCCTCCAGTCTCTCTTCTCTGCCTGCTCTACATTTCCTCGTCGATGATTTCTTGCTCCTTCTATTTGATATTCTATTCTGGGCCTTCTGCCTGCTCCCTTCTGTGCTCTGTTGCTCTGAGATCTCTTCTCTGGGCCTTGCTCATTTCCTCGTCGCAGATGATTTCTTATGCCTGTCTATTCTGGAATCTCTCTCCTCCAGTCTCTTCTCTCTGCCTGCCTTACATTTCCTCGTCGCAGATGATTTCTTAACCTGCTCCTTCTACCTGTCTGCTCTGAAGGAGATTCTCTCTGGGCCTTGCTCTTTTATGCCCTGTCTATTCTGGAATACTCTCCTCCAGTCTCTCTTTCTGCCTGCCTCTAGCATTTCCCTCGTCGCAGATGATTTCTTAACCTTCCCTTCTACCTGTCTGCTCTGAGATTCTCTCTGGGCCTTGCTCAGCTTTATGCCTGTCTATTCTGGAATACTCTCCTCCAGTCTCTCTTCTCTGCCTGCCTCTACATTTCCCTCGTCGCAGATGATTTTTAACCTGCTCCTTCTACCTGTCTGCTCTGAGATTCTCTGGGCCTTGCTCAGCTTTATGCCTGTCTATTCTGGAATACTCTCCTCCAGTCTCTCTTTCTCTGCCTGCCTCTACATTTCCTCGTCGCAGATGATTTCTTGGGCCCTGCTCCTTCTACCTGTCTGCTCTTGAGATTCTCTCTGGGCCTTGCTCAGCTTTATGCCTGTCTATTCTGGAATACTCTCCTCAGTCTCTCTTCTCTGCCTGCCTCTACATTTCCTCTTCGCAGATGATTTCTTAACCTGCTCCTTCTACCTGTCTGCTCTGAGATTCTCTCTGGGCCTTGCTCAGCTCTTTATGCCTGTCTATTCCTGGAATACTCTCCTCCAGTCTCTCTTGGGCCTCTCAACCTCCTGTCTATTCTGAAATACTCAGATGATTTCTTCTGCTCTTCTACCTTCTGCTCAGATTTCCTTTCAGATGATTTCTAACCCGCTCCTTCTACCTGTCTGCTCAGATGATTTCTTAGATTCTCTCTGGGCCTTGCTCAGCTTTATGCCTGTCTATTCTGGAATACTCTCCTCCAGTCTCTCTTCTCTGCCTGCCTCTACATTTCCTCGTCGCAGATGATTTGGGCCTTGCTTAACCCTGTCTCCTTCTCACCTGTCTGCTCTGAGATTCTCTGGAAGATTCTCCTTGCTCTCAGCTTTATGCCTGTCTATTCTGGAATACTCCTCCAGTCTCTCTTCTCTGCCTGCCTCTACATTTCCTCTTCGCAGATGATTTCGTCACTTCCCTCCTTCTACCTGTCTGCTCTGAGATTCTCTCTGGGCCTTGCTCAGCTCCTCCAGTTTATGCCTGTCTCTTCTGGAATTTCCTCCAGTCTCCTCTTCTAGATACATTTTCCTCGTCGCAGATGATTTCTTCCTTCCTTCTACCTGTCTGCTCTGAGATTCTCTCTGGGCCTTGCTCAGCTTTTATGCCTGTCTATTCTGAAATACTCTCCTCAGTCTCTCTTCTCTGCCTGCCTCTACATTTCCTCTTCGCAGATGATTTCTTAACCCCTCCCTTCTACCTGTCTGCTCTGAGATTCTCTCTGGGCCTTGCTCTTTATGCCTGTCTATTCTGAATACTCTCCTCCAGTCTCTCTTCTCTGCCTGCCTCTACATTTTCCTCTTCGCAGATGATTTCGTCTGCTCCTTCTACCTGTCTGCTCTGAGATTTCTCTGGGCCTTGCTCAACTTTATGCCCGTCTATTCTGAAATACTCTCCTCTGGTCTCTCTTCTCTGCCTGCCTCTCTACATTTCCTCGTCGCAGATGATTTCGTCACCACTCCCCTTCTACCTGTCTGCTCTGAGATTCTCTCTGGGCCTTGCTGCTTTATGCCTGTCTATTCTAGTCTCTCTTCTCTGCCACCATTTTCTCTTCATAGATAATTTCGCCTGTCTGCTCACATTTCTCTCTGGGCCTTGCTCGCAGATGATTTCTGCCTGCCTCTACATTTCCTCGTTGATTTCGTCACCGCTCCTTCTACCTGTCTGCTCTGAGATTCTCTCTGGGCCTTGCTCAGCTTTATGCCTGTCTATTCTGAAATACTCTCCTCCAGTCTCTCTTCTCTGCCTGCCTCTACATTTCCTCTTCGCAGATGATTTCGTCACCCGCTCCTTCTACCTGTCTGCTCTGAGATTCTCTCTGGGCCTTGCTCAGCTTTATGCCTGTCTATTCTGAAATACTCTCCTCCAGTCTCTCTTCTCTGCCTGCCTCTACATTTCCTCTTCGCAGATGATTTCGTCACCTGCTCCTTCTACCTGTCTGCTCTGAGATTTCTCTCTGGGCCTTGCTGATTTATGCCTGTCTATTCTGAAATACTCTCTCCAGTCTCTCTTCTCTGCCTGCCTCTACATTTCCTCTTCGCAGATGATTTCTTAACCCGCTCCTTCTACCTGTCTGCTCTGAGATTCTCTCTGGGCCTTGCTCAGCTTTATGCCTGTCTATTCTGAAATACTCTCCTCCAGTCTCTCTTCTCTGCCTGCCTCTACATTTCCTCTTCGCAGATGATTTCGTAACCCGCTCCTTCTACCTGTCTGCTCTGAGATTCTCTCTGGGCCTTGCTCAGCTTTATGCCTGTCTATTCTGAAATACTCTCCTCCAGTCTCTCTTCTCTGCCTGCCTCTACATTTCCCTCTTCGCAGATGATTTCGTCACTCGCTCCTTCTACCCCTGTCTGCTCTGAGATTTCTCTGGGCCCTTGCTCTTGCTTTATGCCTGTCTATTCTGAAATACTCTCCTCCAGTCTCTCTTCTCTGCCTCTACATTTCCTCTCGCAGATGCCTGCCTCCCTTCTACCTGTCTGCTCTGAGATTTCTCTGGGCCTTGCTCAGCTTTATGCCTGTCTATTTGAAATACTCTCCTCCAGTCTCTCTTCTCTGCCTCTACATTTCTCTTTCGCAGATGATTTCGTCACCCCTCCTTCTACCTGTCTGCTCTGAGATTCTCTCTGGGCCTTGCTCAGCTTTTTATGCCTGTCTATTCTGAAAACTCTCCTCCAGTCTCTCTTCTCTGCCTGCCTCTACATTTCCTCTTCGCAGATGATTTCTTAACCCGCTCCTTCTACCTGTCTGCTCTGAGATTCTCTCTGGGCCTTGCTCAGCTTTATGCCTGTCTATTCTGGAATACTCTCCTCCAGTCTCTCTTCTCTGCCTGCCTCTACATTTCCTCGTCGCAGATGATTTCGTAACCCGCTTCTTTCATCTCGCTATTATCCGAGAAGCTCTCTAGACATTTCTCGACGTTATGCCAGTTCGTTCTGTGATATTGTCCTCCTATGCCCACATCTCCTTCTCTGAATTGTACTCTGATCCTGAGTTCAGGCCAAACTATTTTAGTTTGTCTCTCTTCAATGTGATGACAAGGTCTTCATAGAATTCACTGGCTTATCTGGTTTGTGTGCCTTCTCTGTTAGTGATGTGATATCTATATAGAAAAACCTAGGAATTTTCATCGCAACTATCCTCTATGACTTGTATTTTCTTTACATCTGCTATCAAGATATACGGAAAGGTTGCTGGGATAAGTATGTAAGGTTCCAAGTAGATTACTTTGAGGAAACTAAGGTGACATTGCCCATGGTAGGTTATTTTCTATTAATGGTAAGCCGTTTTCATGACAGACCAAATAAATAACAAACATTTTAGGGAAACCTATGACAAACTGAAAAGGTTTTTCGTGTGATGTATTTCTTCCTTTAGGACATCATTGTTTTTTTAAAATATATATTTTGGACATTTTGTCTATCCTATTTAATTCAATTTCTTTTTCTTTTCGTATTTTTTTTATCACTATTGTCGGAGTTAGCTACTCCTCAGTTTCTTAATCCTTCAACAGGGGTCTCTCTCCCCTGGCTATAAATACTAGCTGACCCTTCGCCTCGATCTCTTTTTTTTCCTCAGGCTTTGGGCCTTATACCACCTCGCAGATGTGAGCTCTCACCAATACAGCGTTTCCCAAATTCTGGGAACACGCTAAGTACAATATCAATACACGTACATACGAACACTCACCAGATTACACACACATAATATTCACCACACAAACTCAATGTAACTGTCCATGTGCTTGTAACGTGTTGTTAATACATATATTTGTTTATATATAATTATCGGTCTTGTTTGTTTTCTTTGTCTTCTTTGGACTTAATTAAAGTCCAACTTTCTCATGTGGTTGGATCGGCTAGCAGGAAATACTACCCACGTGTGTTCTTTACATCTATACTGCCACGGTCCGCTACACTTTTGTTATTAAATATCTCACAGTGCAATAAGAGATGATCTGCCAAGAAAGGTGAAATGTTTTAAGAACCTGGACGTAAATTTACTGTGGACAATCTAATGATTAAAGCCCTTTCTATACACTTTCATCTTAGTAATTTTTAATTAACGTAGCATTTTTAAAATCAAAATTATTCTAAGATATTGTCCTTATACCTCTCTTCTCTGTCTGCTTCTATTGTACCCTGATCATGAGTTGTACCCAAATTATTAATTATTTTACTAGTTCACTGTGGTGGCAATGGTCTTCATAACATTCAATCACTTACTTGATTTTATTACTCTTTTTCCTGTTGGTGATATCTTTGTACTAAATACCTAGGAATCTTCATGGCATCTCATCCTTATGACTTTTAATTTTTTTCTGTATATCCACTACCAACTTCTACCATAATCATACGTACAATGAAGACATCGGTCTGATCAGGAATAACTACATTTTCTTTACCAGATTTAATATTTCTTTTTATAGAGATATCCTAAAGACAAGGTCTAAGCTACCGGAATTAATTCACTTGTAAATTACAGATTGTAATCGAAGAAAAACAGTTGTCGAACATTTAGCAAGAGATACATTAACCCATTAAGATTGGAAATTCGGTCATCACAGTTCTATGACTCATCTGCGAATGACGGAAATTTCTCCTGCAATTAATAGACTGCTTGTTGTTTGTGAGAAGTAGACCTCATCGTCAAGAGTCTGTCTTATTGTGAAAGACGGGCATTTCGAACGTTCAGAATAAAATTCTCTTTAAATAACTCTTCAGCGAGCTTATCCACTGAGAAATGTTTTGCCAAACTACGATCTGACACCTCGAAGAAAATGTGGAATTGTCCGATCTCTCGTACAAGAAAACCCCTTCTCTCCATCAGCCAAATAATTCGTGATGCAGTAGGAAGATGCGCTTAAATATTTTGTGACACTTTTATTTTAATTTTGTTTGGTCGATTTTTCGAGAAAAATGAAATTGCGGAGTTATTTATTAATCTTGGCTTAGCATGGCACATGTGTGGGTGGTGGTATGAATAGCGGCTCTGAAGGAAAAATAGAGCCGAGTTCGAGATCCAGTCGATTCCGTTACATTCATCTCTTACTCCTTCCCAGTTTTAAATGATCGAAAGTTGATATAACGTAGAAATCAAGGCTTGTGTTCTGAGGAGCTATATTTCTTAGTCCCGCAACTCTTGACCGTTACAAATGGCATCCACCATTTCACATACACAAATGTGAATCATCTCCACTCCCTTCGTATTTCAACAGTAAGAAAGAAGTTCCACTCGTACAGCTTCTTACAAAGAACTGTTGCCTTGTGGAATAGACACCCGGGAGGATGTTTTCCCAATCACCACAATCTTGACTTCTTCAAATCTTGAGTTAACTCTTATCTTTCCTGTATGTCAACGTGATCTTGCCATTTCTTGCACTCAGACAACACCTCACATTACCCTTGAGTGGCTCTTGAGCCTTGTACTGGGTGAACATTAGTGTATATAAAAAAAAACAATTCTAGCCATGAGTACTGGATTCCTAATGAGAATCCCGCCCATAATATTCTACGATCTTCTACACTAACTTATTAACTAGTATTTTACGGAGAGCCACTCTACTTTTTCTGGCAGTAAGGTAGATATTATGATCAGCTTTATACGAATTTGAAACAACTTGGACATTAAGCAAGACCCCAATTTTAACTTGCAATCGTGCGTGTGTATATGTGTGTGTGTGTGTGCGTGCAGTGTCTCTTTTCCTCTTTTGCTGTAGATTCACAGCTTAATCTTCAAATTAGAACATGTAACTGAAAATCAAATTTGCATTAATGTTGGGTAGGGGGGATGCACCCAGGGCTATATCCTCGGGCTTACGTTGTCTGACTTTCATTATTAACAACCTTCATTTAAAAAGAAAGAAAAAAGCAGGAATTTTTTTCTTTTTTGAAAGAAAGAAAAAGCAGAAATTATTGGCTTAAGATGTTGGTAGTGTTACGGTTTTTTTGTGTATATATACCATATAACTAGTGAGCGAGTCAAAATGACTTAATTCCCTTTATAGTCGACCAATAGAAGGTTGACCAATCAGAAGCCGCACAACACTGTATCCGTCGTGTATAAAGGCGGCCATCTTTGTTTTCTCACCGGAAGGACCAGAGGTAACTTGTCCGGCGAACATGACAGACGGAAGAACTACGCTCTGCTACCTTGCTGTGATATCCACTGCGAACCTGCACTACGCTTTCCTACTGTCTCCGAAATATTCACTGCCAACCTCTCGATTCTATACTCGAGGACGACCGTCATGAAAATGTCTAACAGGTAGTTATTTAGAACAGTGATGTATGATGTCTACATGGAACCAAAATCAAAGAAGGACTTGATATTATTATCGGAGTTAGACGGTAAATGCTATATCATTTTTTGTCCTTAAATACGAAATGGAAGCATAATATCTATAGACACTAGACGAACAAAGTATACTTATTGAACAACGACTATCAATAAAATTCGGTCATTCTCTGTAAAAACATTTAATAGATAAGAAAACGAACAGAACTTCCGTGAGTAATAAAAGAGCATATCAGTTTGGAAATGACTTATAAGAGGTTGTGGGTAATTCAGTTTGCCTGTCGTTTGCGATGACTGAAATAGATTAAGGTGCTTGCTTTCGTCCAGTCCTCCCGTCTACCAAGTGATCTGTTGCTAGTGACCTCCTATTTCTATCAGTTTCGTTAGTGCGTACGCCGTCTCACCAACAATACCTTCTCCCGTCTTCCTCCCAGACTCGCCATTTATGCCCGCGTTTGTAGCAACTAAAATTTGCATACGAGACTTACTTCTCGTTCGCCCGAGACTTCCGGTTTTATAAATTCAAGCTGGTTTGAATTCTTAGTCTTTTTTTTAATTTTTTTTTCCTTTGTACGTCTGTCCGCGATATGAGAATTTCGGAATAGTTAACTTCTCTTTTAATGCCGGATGCGATCTTTCAACAGGACATGACACGCCAAACAAATTCGCTTTGCGGGAGGTAAGTCTTCTCGTGCCTCACAGAAGTATTTATTACAGAAGATGAGAAATCAAACTGATTTGTAGTGTGGCTTTAATTCGAAACAGTTCTGATGATGATGATGATGATGACAAAAATTTGAGTTCAGTTTATTGTTGTTTACAACTTCTTTGTAAATAAAGGTTTTCACCCTGTGGACATTTAACGTTAGAGGATTCGCAAAAAAAAGAAAAGAAGGATGTATTGGCTCGGGATGTTGATAGCTATAACATTGATGCTGTATCCAAGAATCCAAAATCAAAAGACTTGATATTAATAACGGAGATAGCAGAGTTTAATAGCATTGGCAATAGACAGTAAACATTAGGGTTTTATCATCAATACCAAATGTAAAAGACTCAAAGCTAAAATGACTGAATACACAGGCTAGGTCAAAGATGGGGAAATATGATTGAAAACAGGAAAATATTTGATGACCATCAAACTGTGGTTTGAATTTATATGGTATCGAAGATCTGTTAGAAAATATGCAGTAAACATTTACATGAACACAATAATAATTAAAATAATGCTTACATAGTGAAAATACATGAGGTGACATACCAAAGTGTGTTTCCATCTTCTTTGATATTGGTACCGGAAATATAGATTTCAAACTTCCGGCAGGTAGTACAAACATAAGCCGGATAAGATATTGGTAAATGAGCATATGAAACTCCTGTAAGATTTAGCAAATCAGACTGACCGAATAATTGAACACACCAGACCAGATCAGATGGGACATAACACTGACCATAAACAGTTCTCATGATTGTTGATAAATGTGGCATGGCCTGGAGATCATCACATTGCAGGTAAAGACATTGAAAAGGTTATGAACTACTCAGGGTTGAGATTAGATGTTGAGACAAT